GTTTTTTTTAGTTTCGCTCCAATTTTTTTTTGCTGTAATTAGACGAAATACTGTAATAAAATTATATTTAGCGAACCGCAATTAACCCGAAATTGGTAGAAATATTGTCAAGTCACCTTCCACAATGCAAAGTGTGATAAAGAAATACGTAAACAATGGAGACTCAGCACATATTGACACCACGGGAGAAGCATAAAGTTTAAAATACAGTATTATAAAATCCCAGAATAACATCTACAACAATTCTTTAAACCCTAAAGAAGCCTTCAGAAAAAATTTTTTGGTCCAAACCATCCGGAACGCTCTCAACAATGCTGGTATATATGGTTGAGAGCATGTAAGCAAGCCGGAATTATTTTGGGAGAACGTTATACACGTTATATTATTTATTGACAAATCAAAAATGAAAAAATTTTGGACATGGCTGACCTTTTAAAGTATGTCAAATGGCAAATGAAGTCAAGGGCAAAAATGCATCTCAAGCCGCTATAAAATGTGTGCAGTTTATGGACCCGATACAGTTAACATTTCCACCGCACAACGATGGAATTAACGTTTTCGTCGAAGATGCGCCACGCTTCGAGTTTTTTGCCAATAGGGAAGCGACCTTCTATGAGAGGAGCATTATGAAGTTGGCATCTCGTTGGGAACGCGTCATCATCTACTACAAGTACACCCTCTATACTTATGTGGGGTTTAAATTGTACTTATGTTTATATTATATTTCTTAATTACACATACGTTTATATATGTAGATATAGATATAAATTATGTTAAAGTAATTATATTTATGTTTATGTATGTCAGATTGAGGTGTTAGATTAAGACATGTTCCTGACACAAAGCCACAACCAAATAACCACGTTTAAAAACCTAAGTTTCAATACACTTTACTTGTTCCACCTCATTTGGGATATTGCTTTCTTGTTTTGGTGTGCCCGACATTAAAATTATACCTACAAGGTTTTATCAGAATCCGATGAATTTTAGTCGAAACAAAACTGAACACGCTTTTAAATTGGAATTTTTTGACGTTACCACATGAAGTCAAAAGAAGACGGTACATTTGTTATGTTTTTATAATATTATATGTATACATTTTTGTTTATTTAAATATATACATTTTAAGGGGAGAAATCGTGCATTAAGGTTCATGAAGCCTTCTGTGCCAATAATTTAGTTCGTCACTGTACAAATTATCTTTTTGGTGTGAGTGTGCCGCTCCTCGTCGCAGTCCGTGAAGATGGGCTGCCTGATGACGTGGGATGGAAAACTATTCTCCAATTGTTCCGCGGCCTCCTTTATTGGCGGGCTCAATGTTCCTGAATATTGCAGAAATGTTCTTGAATGAAAATTTGTTGCGGCCAGAAATTGGTCGAACAGATATCGCCTTACTGAAGACTTGATATCCACGATCGGACTTCACTAAGCGGCAGAGCGTATCTGCTCCTGCTGCCGTGATTTTCGCTCAATATCATCTATCAAAGCGAAAGCCTGTAATTTCCCACATTCAGATTGCCACTGAAAATGTACTTGCCTACGAATACTAGGAATCTCGCTGCGAAATAGCGCTGCTGGAATAAGTATTATGCCAATGTTGGAAATGCTTGTAGTTGAGAAAGGTTCGTGGAATCAGGTTATTTTGATAATATATACTATATAATTAATATATAATATATAATATAATAGATAGCTGTTAAAATTTTTGTAGTGTGTGCCGTATGAACGTATGTGCGTTGCTTCTTTATGTACATATGTTGAGATGGTCGTACAGACGCCCTGTACGTACAGTCGGCACACAATTTATTCGTACACCCATGAGTTGCAAGTTTATTCCTCAATATCTCGAGAAATACGTAACGGAAAATAAAATGTAATATCTCAAATGAAAGATAGAGCATATATTTTAAACATAAAATTAACAAGTTTTAACTTAAATACTAGATAATTTCCCTAATAACACAAAAAAGTCATATTTACGCACAAAAATTATTCATACACTTCTCATTCCTGACTTCTATTTCTGAATTCAAAGGTAATCAGCGATTCTTTTTTGAACTGTACTTCGGACCAAGCTTCGGTTTACTATTCTCAAAGTTTTTTTTAGTTTCGCTCCAATTTTTTTTTGCTGTAATTAGACGAAATACTGTAATAAAATTATATTTAGCGAACCGCAATTAACCCGAAATTGGTAGAAATATTGTCAAGTCACCTTCCACAATGCAAAGTGTGATAAAGAAATACGTAAACAATGGAGACTCAGCACATATTGACACCACGGGAGAAGCATAAAGTTTAAAATACAGTATTATAAAATCCCAGAATAACATCTACAACAATTCTTTAAACCCTAAAGAAGCCTTCAGAAAAAATTTTTTGGTCCAAACCATCCGGAACGCTCTCAACAATGCTGGTATATATGGTTGAGAGCATGTAAGCAAGCCGGAATTATTTTGGGAGAACGTTATACACGTTATATTATTTATTGACAAATCAAAAATGAAAAAATTTTGGACATGGCTGACCTTTTAAAGTATGTCAAATGGCAAATGAAGTCAAGGGCAAAAATGCATCTCAAGCCGCTATAAAATGTGTGCAGTTTATGGACCCGATACAGTTAACATTTCCACCGCACAACGATGGAATTAACGTTTTCGTCGAAGATGCGCCACGCTTCGAGTTTTTTGCCAATAGGGAAGCGACCTTCTATGAGAGGAGCATTATGAAGTTGGCATCTCGTTGGGAACGCGTCATCATCTACTACAAGTACACCCTCTATACTTATGTGGGGTTTAAATTGTACTTATGTTTATATTATATTTCTTAATTACACATACGTTTATATATGTAGATATAGATATAAATTATGTTAAAGTAATTATATTTATGTTTATGTATGTCAGATTGAGGTGTTAGATTAAGACATGTTCCTGACACAAAGCCACAACCAAATAACCACGTTTAAAAACCTAAGTTTCAATACACTTAACTTGTTCCACCTCATTTGGGATATTGCTTTCTTGTTTTGGTGTGCCCGACATTAAAATTATACCTACAAGGTTTTATCAGAATCCGATGAATTTTAGTCGAAACAAAACTGAACACGCTTTTAAATTGGAATTTTTTGACGTTACCACATGAAGTCAAAAGAAGACGGTACATTTGTTATGTTTTTATAATATTATATGTATACATTTTTGTTTATTTAAATATATACATTTTAAGGGGAGAAATCGTGCATTAAGGTTCATGAAGCCTTCTGTGCCAATAATTTAGTTCGTCACTGTACAAATTATCTTTTTGGTGTGAGTGTGCCGCTCCTCGTCGCAGTCCGTGAAGATGGGCTGCCTGATGACGTGGGATGGAAAACTATTCTCCAATTGTTCCGCGGCCTCCTTTATTGGCGGGCTCAATGTTCCTGAATATTGCAGAAATATGGTGAAAACTTCTCTCCGTTATTCACGGCCCTTAAGGCTCGATAACCAATTCAATAATTATACAGCTTTCGCTGGAGTTGTTTTAATCAGGGACTGTAACGGTTATAATTAAAAAAGCAAAAAATTACAAAATAAAAGTTATTTCTTAATTTTTACGAAAAAAATTGATATTTAATAATTCAAATTGATTTTAATAATAAAAAATTAGTAATAATTATTAAGTATCAATTTTTATATAAAAATTACGCAATAACTTTTATTTTCAATTTTTAATATATAAATTGAAAAATAAGAATTATTCGATAACTTTTATTTTAAAAATTGAAAATAAAGATTGAATCTATATATCTTTTGATCCGTAGAAGCCAGATCCAATATATATGTATATATATGATCTACACATCAATACCTTTCAGATGGTATATATATATGTATATATATGATCTACACATCAATACTTTTCAGATGGTATATTGATGTGTAGATCTTATATAAATATATATATAGGATCTGGCTTCTACGGATCAAAAGATATATAGATCTTTATTTTCAATTTTTAAAATAAAAGTTATCGAATAATTCTTATTTTTCAATTTATATAATTAAAATTGAAAATAAAAGTTATTGCGTAATTTTTATATAAAAATTGATATTTAATAATTATTACTAATTTTTAATTATTAAAATTAATTTTAATTATTAAAAATCAACTTTTTTCATAAAAATTGAAAAAAAATTTATCTTGTTTTTGAATTCGCCATAAAAATTTAACTTATGACAATTTTTTCCAATTTTTTTGGAGACTGTTTTGGGCTTTAATTTTTTTAAACTCATAATAATTATTTGCGGTCCCTGGTTTTAATAGAGCTATGCGCTCTTTATTCAAATCAAAATCAAACTGAGCTTAAAGACTGTACGTCATACAAAAATGCTGACAGTAGCAGAAGATACATAACTCACCATGGCGGGAACCAGGCACGGCCCCTAAAGGCGACTTATGCTTGCTCTGCACATAAAGGCACTAGGGTGATCCGAGAAACACCCAAGATTTTTGTACCGACTTATAAGTTACTCCTTAACTGTCTTAACTTACACATAGATGGAAATAACCTTTCTTGATCTAAGATAGCTAAGTTGTACGTCAGCGGAAAAAGGCGAGACAAGACTTTGGTCCGCACTCTAAGCAACAATTTCCTATATCCTATTTGTGTTAAATGCAAATAAATCAAAACCTAATAAATTTTTGTTTATTCCGTCTAACGCACATATATTTAAAGTACTTACTGCACGCAGTCCCTTCTTGTTCATATATAGTATTGGGGAGCAAATGACTATCATCAAAAAATGACTGCACATTACATACGTCGTTTAAGAGAGGCTTTATATCGTAATGGGTTAAAAAAAAACCGTACTGATTTGTCGCGGAAAAACTATTTATGCTATGTACACCTTGCATATTAACAAAACTACAAGAGCTTAAAATTGTATAGCTTTTTCATAACTGACATAATTTACAAGTATTGAAATTACTAGAAATTCTAATTTTTTATTCTTTAATTGTAGGTATAAATTCAACAATAATTCGAGGCATATGTAAGGTTATTGGAACTACGATAACCAAATATAAGGATTTTGCATCGCAACGAATAGTTAGAGAACTTATAGTTGACCTTGCAACTATACATCACGACTTAACAATCGAGCACATGTTAAATGTCTTCAAAAGTCTTTTATTTAAAGAATTCTCAAATCTTTCCGGCCAAAAATCTTGCAAATCTGCAATAATAGCATTGGGATGGATAACTTTGATACAGAAAAAGGCAGACCGCGATTCTAATATCTTTAAAACAGAAAAAAAAAAAATTGTTGAATACCAGTCTTTATTTTATCAAATAACTTTATTTTCTTCAAACCAAAGAATTACAGACGCAAGAACAAAAATTATGTATGAGTTATGGGATAATACTGACATATTTGATGAAACGTTAAACATAATGTTTCAAATGGAAGCAACTAGCAATGTTACTATTATGTTCATGGTTATGATTCAATTTGAAGCTAAAAAGAAGAAATCGGTGATATTAAATAATTATACGGAAGAGCTATCAAAATACTTCGTAAATAGTATGGTTTCGTGCAAAAACAAACCTGACAAGTTATTTATTACAATATGCCGTCCATTATTGGAATCACTAACTGAATCTGAATTTGATTCTTATATATATCCGTCATTACAAAGGTCGATATTACGAAGTCCGGAAAACACCCTTGAAAGTATTGGATTGATTTTTGATATGTTGAACTTTGATTGCAGTTCTTATGCTAAACAAGTTGGAAATGTCCTTATAAAAAATTTATACAGTAAAGGAGACACCGCACGGCGAGAGTCACTTGATTCCTTAAAACTCTTATCAACAAAATGTTCTGACTGGATAGTTGTAAAAGAATTATTGGAGCATATTTTCTCGGTGTTAAATGGATCCGACGGCAAAATTAATGTGGTTGAATATAGACTAAATATTTTACAGGTAATTAAATACACGCATTTGTATTCGATGAAATATTCCTAGCTATGTATTTACTATACAAAAATTATCTTAAAGTTTCCAATAACATAAGTCCGATTGTTTAAGCGAGATATTCTGTTCATGTGGAAAGCAAAATCAAGGTTTCTTTTGAAAAAAGGTTTTTATGTTAGGTCAGTAAGTTATGATTGGTAATCAGTCTTCTATCAAGGGTTAAGGAAAAATGTTCCACATAGCACATGGGTTTAGTTCCGGGTCTAAGAAATAGATAGTGCTAGTTTTATTGCAGTCACCTTTTTTCAGTTAACACTAATCTTTAAAAGACAGTTTTTAACAGGTAGATGGAAGCGACCATATAAAGTATACAGTGATGGAAAAAATAATAGAAACGAATTTTCACTTTGGGTTTAAATACGTATTTTTAATAAGGAAAGTGGTGATGTGTGGATATTTTAATTTTTTTTTTTTGATTTATATACGAGGTGTGTTCAAAAAGTAAGGTGACTCTTCAAATTTCGCGAATTTCAAATTTTTCGATTATCGAAACCTTTTAGAAGTTATACGAGGTGTGTTCAAAAAGTAAGGTGACTTTTCAAATTTCAAATTTTTCAAATTTTTCGATTATCTTCAGTTTTGGGAACAAGAAAAAGTCACATGGGGCCAAATCCGGTGAATATGGTGGCTGAGGCATTATTGTGGTGTTGTTTTTGGCCAAAAAATCCAAATCCTTTGATCCATATTTTTCGATAGCAAAAAATCGCCGAGCTCGCAAAACAACTTGTAACTTTACGCCTCTCACAACCAAACAAAAGAGGATGTTCCATTGAAACTTGGTACAGATGTTAGGGAAGAGTGTACCAATATAACAAAACAAAAAAATCGATAATCGAAAAATTTGAAATTCGCGAAATTTGAAGAGTCACCTTACTTTTTGAACACACCTCGTACATCTATCTTACATACTAAAAAACAAATATGCATTTAAATTTATTCATTTAGCTAAAAAATTATATTTAAGTTAAGTTTTACGTTTTTGACTTCGAAATAAAAATAGAAACGAACTGACCACTCGTCATCCAAATTGACTAGCCTAGCAAAATTAACCATGAAATGTTTTCAGGTTTAATATTTTGTTGCGTTACCATGGTTTTTCAAAAATTCCGGCACACCTACGAGGCATAGACTCCACCAGATTGGAGCATATTGCTGGCTCAATGAAGTACCACTCCTCCTGGACTTTCTCCCACAAATGCTCCTTATTTTTTGGCCTAAAACCACTTAAACGTGCCCATCAAACGCTCAATAGGGTTTAAGTCGGGTGACTAAGCTGACCAATCCATAACGCCGACTTTATTGTCCTGGATCCCCTTTTTAGCAAGCTACGATGTGTGTTTGGGATCGTTATCCTTAATAATTTCCCACTTCAAAGGCATTTCATCTTCGGCATATGTTAACATAACGTCCATCATTATGTTTAAAAAGTCTGTAGCACAGATATTGCCCTGTATCCAATATAGTGGACCAACACCTGAAGCAGAGAAACATCCCCATAGCATTATATTGCCACCTCCATGTTTGATCGTCCTTTTGGTGTATTTGGGATCGAATGCTGTGTTTTTTGGGCATCTAACATGGAGTCTACCATCAGATCTAAACAAATCAATCTTTGTCTCATCGGACCAAAGGACATTTTTCTAGTTCTTGATTTTGGATGACGATTGGTCAGTTCGTTTCTATTTTTATTTCCAACTCAAAAACATAAAATTTAACTTAAATATAATTTTTTAGCTAAAGAATAAAGTTAAATGCATTTTTGTTTTTTAGTATGTAAGATAGATGTATATTAATAAAAAAATTAAAATATCCACACATCATTACGTTCCTTATTAAAAATACGTATTTAAACCCAAAGTGAAAATTCGTTTCTATTATTTTTTCCATCACTGTATATATTCTTGTATCAGTATCAATAGCTATGTCTCTTAAGCCAATTCCGCCTGTCCGTGCATATGAATGCTGAGATCAGAAACTATCTACGATAAAAGTTGAGATTAAGCAGGTAGGTTCTTAAGATCCCTGAGCAGCGCAAGTTTACTGCAAGATAATTCCTCGCTCACTCTAGGGCCCACAAATCACGAAAAAGTAAAATTGCTGAAATCTTAGGAACTATTAGAGCTAGAAAGTTTAGGTTATGTATGTATAATTTTAAGACGCCATCGCATCTTATGGTGGTACCATTATCGGCTGATACCGCTCGTTTTGGTATTTTTATGCAGCCACGCGTCCATAATAATAAAATGTATGTCTTCGTTTGAATTTGTATAGTATTTATAGTTTATATTTAACGATTTACCAAATATTTTTAAAATCGGAAACTTATTTCGATTTTTATGAAGAAATGTTGGTCACCATCAGTTACTCAACATGCTTTCTCTGACCATAGATGGCCCTTTTTGAATTTCCATTAGCAAAATAAATATTTTAAAATTGTATAAAACAGTAACGGGTATCTTATAGTCACGGCAATCGACTACAGCGTTTCTTCTTGTTTTAATTTCACCTTCTTAAATAATTAATTTGCCTTTTTCTTCATATGATGCAAATCTAATGAACTCGATTTACCCTCCAAATACTTCCCGGAAATATAAAAGGAAACATGTCAACTGTATTTAATATATAAAGTAATCTCTTGATCATATTCATCAACATTAGCTCAGAAGAAAGACGTTTCTAAAACAAAAATAAACTTGTTGATGCCAGGGTCTTAGCTTCAGCTATTAAGATAATGCGGCAACGTGGTTGCCCACAATATCCTCCGCCTGCACAGAGTACACGGGACTAGGTGGTGCCCACGATAAGTGACGATAGTGCTGAAGCTACGGCCCAGCTTTCAGCTAATAAGATAAAGGTGTAGGATAATGCGGCAACGTGGCACGTCGCTGCTCAGGGAGTTGTTATTTTTAATCGTAGGGTGATATTGCACAGATCACGGCCGTCGACCAGCGTCCGGCGTCGTGCTCTTAGTTATTATTTAGTAAAAATCCTTTTTTGGCAAGAAAGAAAACCTCCATGAATGTTTAAAATTGTTCAGTAAGGATAAAAATGTACGAAAGAAAAGTGAGTCTTCATTTTAAAACTTTGAAAAAATATCTTATGCCAAAAGACCTTTATGCATGAAGATGTCTGTTTCCTTGGGTATGGGACGTCAACAATTGGGTTCTTTAAAAATTGCATTAAAAAAAAAGGTCATTTTGCAAGCAAAAAACCGACGGCATTTTGATCGCTCTGCTCTGTTTTTATATCCGTTTCTCATAGAGTATGAGGGTATATTAGATTCGTTGAAAAGTATGTAATAGGTAGAAGAAAGCGTTTCCGACCCTATAAAGTATATATATTCTTGATCAGGATGAAGATTGAGCTATGTCCGTTTGTCCGTATAAACGCTGAGATCTCAGGAACTACAAGAGATACAAAAATGAGTTTAAGCATGAAGATTCTTTAGGTGAAGTTTATTACAGCATCCTACCACGCTCACTCTAACGCCCACAAATCGCGAAAAACTAAAATCGCTGAAATCTCTGGAACTATTAGAGCTAGAGAGTTGAAATTCAGTATGTAAAATCTTTAGATGCCAGCGCATCTTATAGTGATACTAATATCCGGCCACACGCACCCATACGCCCACAAGGCTCAAAAGACGAGTTTCGCATTTTCTAGAAATGCTGATATCTCGGTAACTATAAGAGATAGAAAGTTCGGATTAACCATGTTGGTTTTTATGATGCTCCAAATGCAAATTCTTTCTAGCCACGCCCACCCTAACGCCCGCAAATCACGGAAAACCAAAAATGCAAGCATCTCGGGACCTATAAGAGCTAGAAAGTTATGCTTAAATACAGGTATTTTAGAGATGCCCCTGCAACTTGTCACGAGTTTTCATCCCGCCACGCCCACTCTAACGCCCACAAACCGAGGAAAACTGTAGCGTCTATAATATTATTATGAATGCCTTCGTTTGACCTTGTATAACTTATTCTTGTTAATATCTATCGATTTACCAAAGATTTTTTAAATCGAAACACATGGTTTGTGACGTCACCATCAGTTACTCGACATGCTTTTTCTGACAATAGTGGGCGCCTTGTGAATTTCCACTAGCAAAATGAATATTTAAAAATTGTGTAAAACGGTAACGGGTATCTTATAGTCGCGGACCTCGACTATAGCGTTTCCTTTTTGTTTTTTTTGTTATATCTGCATCGGTTTCCGGCCCAATTTCAGAGGGTAGAAACTTAATTTACACATTTGGCCAACTGTACTCTGGTTCGCTGAACTGCCCGGTCAAGACTAAAGCCGCCCCGGACTATTAAGTCCGAGCGCAGTTATCTGCCGCATTTTCTTCGGAGCAGCTAGGTTCAAATGAATGCCCCCACACTTACCTAGACGTTACATGTGCTTACGCCTTTGCGAATGAAGTATGATACTAACCAATACACTGGCTTAGATTACAAAATTGTGTACGAAATGACTAATACTAATTAAAATGTTAGAATTTAAGAAGTTTTAATTTATTATATCCGTTACACGAAGAGTTAAATATCTTATGATCTATGAGTGATTGAAAGTTTGTATTAAAAACAAGAGGAAACGCTATAGTCGAGTGCCGCGACTATAAGATACCCGTTACCGTTTTACAAAATTTTAAAATATTATTTTGCTAGTGCAAATTCACGAGGCGCCTATTGTCAGAGGAAGTATGTTGAGTATGCTTATAGTGACGTCACTGCCCATGTGAGGCCTTATAACCTTAATTTCTTTATAAATAGCGAAATAATGTTCCGATTTGAAAAATCTTTGGCAAATCGATACATATTAACAGAAATAAGTTATACAAAGTAAATCGAAGGCATTCATAATAATAGTATAGACGCCACAGTTTTCCGCGGTTTGTGGGCGTTAGAGTGGGCGTGGCCAGATGCAACTTCGTGGAAAGTTGCAGAAGC